CGCGCTTTACGAACGAAGTCGTGCTCGTACTCCTCCACCGAGTGGCCCCCACTACGAAAGGGCATAGAACTCTCGCTCCATTCTCTCGCGAAAATGGCGCGGTAAAACTAGACTTCCAGAATCTTCTTGAGCCACTCTCATGTCTGCTTATAATGATCCTCCTTCCCCAAACGCCAGTAGTCGTTCTACCAATCTCCAGAATTGGTCTACGACTACGGCATGTTCCCGCTCAGCGGGTGGGTTCGGAGTTCTGCGAGGCAGCTTTCTGGATAGCCACTAACTATTAAACTAACATCGTATAGCTGATTAAAAAATAGTTATACTATACTTAGCGAATTTTTAACAAATTTCCGAAAACACCTAGCTTGGCTAGAGTTCCGATTTATACTTAACTCTTCTAAGTTCTGGCTAGAGTTCTGATTTTGTCTAAAGTTGAACTTAGCTAAACTTTCTAGAATTCTTTTCTCTTTCTAGTCGGAGGATAGATGGCCCCTAAGGTCTTGCTATGTTCTCATGCACTTGCAAAAATTTAAAACTTAGGTGACTTACCTCGGAGTCGGCGCAGCTTGAGCGTGGCGTGGTCATGCTTTCTAAACCTTTTAAGTATACAGAACCACAAAGTGGCTCTGGTACCAACTGTAACACCCCGCCTAATTATTCTAGAATTTATAAAAATCAGAGTAAAATTTTTACTTTTTATTTTCGAAAAACTTTATAACTTTATTAAAAGCAAATACTCATAACTAACTCGCGGGATGCTACTAACTTAAACTCTTTCTCATGCAGACGTAAATAAATACATGCAACCTAATCAAATCCATTATAGAAAGGTACCACGGAGATAAAGGCATTAAACATGCATAAGTCTGAAATATCTCATATTACATAATATGTTTGAATATGCAGAAGGTGTAATACTAAATGCACGCATACTAATAGTAATAATATATGTTCAATAAATGACATGTAAAGCGTTACAAAAGAAATGACCACGCGCCACTGATGCTCACGCGCCACTCGCCCCTCCGTCACCTGAAAAACGTAATGGGGGCGTGAGCAAAACCACTATGCTCCGCAAAGACCAGTACTTAATTAAACAACATCGTTAATTTCAATATCATGACTTAAGCATGTAAGTAACTGAACTGAACTGAACTGTACTAAACTTAACTGAACTGAACTGAACTTCACTGAACATAACTGAGCTTAATTGAATTTAACTGAGCTTAACTGGACTTAGCTGAACTTAACTGAGCTGGACTCGAGTGAACTCGGCTGAAAGCCGCTCGACATAAGGTCGTTAAATCATGTGCACACTCTGATCGGTCATTAAGGCCCAGCTTGGCCTCCACCAGAACCTAGGATGGGACATTAAGGCCCAGCTCGGCCTCCACCCGTAGACGATATAACTGGGCACAGGATGGAAAATTAAGGCACGTTAGTGCCTCCACCCTGGCGATATAACTGGACCTAGTATGGCTCATTAAGGCACGTTAGTGCCTCCACCCTGGTGATTTAACTAGGCCTAGGATAGAACATTAAGGCCCGTTAAGCATCCACCCTTAGCGATATAACTTTTCACATACATACCTCGGACATGGTACAGAAATTAAAGATGATGTAGAACCAGTACGTGACCCCCACCTGGTAAACTCCTACTGATGCAAGTGTTGGCTGAATGGTAGCTGTCGGAGGCTCGACTCTCCTTAAGCTACACACATTATTGAGCAGAAAGTACTAAGTACTGAGCTCAAACTGAAAACTTGATTTTTATTATTATCTGATTTTACTATGTTCTCTCGCTCGATTATAAAATTATTTAATCTGAATTTAGAGGACTTGAGCTATTTTGGAAGGATTTGTTGGCTTTGAGACATTCTAGAGTTCTTTAAAATATTTCTAAGTCTAATCTGCTTAACTGATTTATCTGATCTAACTTATATGACTGATCTTATTTATCTGACTGGGTTCAAAAAAAATACTGAATCTCGGTTCACGCTCAAACCGGTATTCCGAACTGCTATTCTCGAATCGTCCAGACTATCCGAACCGATTCGACTTAACTGGACTGGCAGCTCAGTCTGAGCCGGATAGTTACTCGTCTGACTGGGTGCAACTCGGCTTAACCGTGGTCCGAGTACATACGCATGGACACAGCATCAGCCGACGCACGACTTTTCTACTTGGATCTAGAGTTCATCCGGACTGACCGGGAAAAGGCCGAACTAGGGTTCTCTACTCAACCGGCTATCTATCTCGGTTCAAGTTGAAACTCAAACTCTAAGTTCAATGTGATTTCTCGTTAATTTAGGCCCAACAACTGCAACTAATTGTCAACAAAATAATATCTAACAATTTTCACATAAAGCAGCTAAAGCCCCAAATTATTAGCCATACCAAACAGTCTCCAAACTTTAAGAAAATTTAATCATATCACCTTTAGCTTTTATAAGATTTTTTCGTAAAGTTTCAACGCATTTCGAGGCCTTTAGTATAGAAAAACCGAGCATATCGACTACATATTAAACAAATTCGGATAAAATAGTAAACGGGCACAAAAATCACGAAACTTAACATATAATCTACTTAACATGTATAAAGTCCAAGGTCAAAATATCAAGTCTCAAGTCAACAATTATCACTTTTAACTCGAAATTACTACGACCGACAATTTACTCGAACCACTAGTTAGCCTATCAAACGGATACCAAAAATTAATCCGATTACATCTTAAGCCTCAAGTCAACGGGATGAATTTAATCATATTTATTTTGACATTTTATCACGACTATATAAAAAGTCCCGAAAAATCGCTTTAAGCTTGTATGTCCTGATTTAATCG